TTTACTGTTCGTTGTGTTCCAGCAGAGCTTATTGGTTGGGACAAAATGAGGACTATCTCTTCATTTGTTATGGTGGCAGAATCTTTAACTGAAGGGAATGAAAAATGTCTTCCATGTCGTCGTAGAAAATTTACACTGTATTCGTGATCCGAAGAAAAAACTTTTGTAACTTGTGCTACATAAAATTTCGAGGTTTTTTTGGTATTAAATCTCACCAAAACAAATGAATCGACCTCCACCCTTCGCGGGGTTATGTCCTGGTCAGACATTTCATCTGATTCTGAAAATAGACCAACATCATCGGAATCCGCAACATCAGAGAATTCCCCATCGCTGTTACTGCTATCACTGGATATCGACTATTTCTTTGTATTAGTCGACCTAACTGGACTATCAATTTTTCTTTTTACTGTTATCTTTGCTTTCTTTACTCTACTCCTTCTTGCTATTCTTTCTGCTGTTTCCGCTTCTATTCTTTTATAAATTGGTGTATCAGTCAGAACTTCAGTATTTTTCTTCTTTCTTTGTTTTTTTACTGGCATCGAGGTTGCTTTAGGGTATGGTTGCTAACACAGGAGAAATGAATCGATTTGCAGTTGTTTCCTTGGAAGTTGCTACTGTTTCACAACAAACAATTTTTTTTTTCAGGTGTAGCTTCAGATAGATCTTTCTGATTTGTTTTTAGTGTTTTATCTCGACAACGTGATGTTGAAGGGGACTGAATGTCAATTTCTGGTATTTCGCTGGTATTAAAATTGTTTGGTTCTTGTTCTTCTCGATCAACGTTTGGCATATCTGTTACTGTTGCGGCCATAAAATCGTCGTCGATAAAAACGTCATCGTTGAATGGGAACACCCCAGTAGCTTGAAATGCTGATACCACATTTTTGGGACAGAAAGAAAGTGGATAAGCTTCCTTCAAAATCTCTGCTATATCGTATATGGTTATCCTCTTTCCTGGGTTTTTCAACAATCATTTTTGACACTCATGTGAATAATATTTCTTCAGACGTCCGAATACAGCTTGATCAAGCGGTTAAAGGCGATGGCTAGTATGTGGCGTAACGTTAACAAAATTATATTATTTTCTTTGCTAGTTTAATAGATGCTAAAGAAACGTGGCTCTCATGGTTGTCCATAATGACTAAAATGGGAGAAGCCTTTGTAGGATTAGTATGTGTCTTAAAATGTATCATCCACTGCTCAAACAACTCTGCTGTCATCCACCCAGAAGGTGTAGCGGAACCCTGAGTACCTGGTGGTGCATTTTTTATCATGTAATCCTTGAAATTTTTTCTAGGAAACACTAAAAACGGCGGTATCGAATTACCAATAGCGTTTATGGCATTGCACATGGTTACCAAAGTGCCCCTTTCATTGGAAACTATATGACCTACTTGCTTTTGTCCCTTTTTGGCTATTACTTTCCCAGTATCTTGCACAGTTGTTAGTGCTGTTTCGTCAACATTATAAACCTGAGAAGGCGTAAACTTATATTTTTCATAAATCGTCTTAAGATTACAAAAAAATTTTGCAACGACTGGTCGATTAAACCCCATCGCTCTGCCTAATGAAGTAGCTTCTGCTGATCGTAGTGATAATTCTGCGTTTCGTTTCATAAAACTAGTGAACCAAAACTTGCCAGCATTCTTGTTCTTTTCCCATGAGGTGGGTATTTTTTTCTTGTTAGCAATCGCCAAATCGTAAGCTAGTTTTCTAGCACCCTTTGGATTAAGACCGTGATGGAGCTTAGTCATAGTTTGCAGATAACTACTGAGTTCTTGTTCTTCGTCTGTAGAAAAAATTTGGTTTACACGATAATCTCGGAGCTCCTTCAAGAACGTCTGAGGTCCAATTTATATTATATTTATTTTCTTGACACTTTTTAACATATCTTCTGAGCGTAGTCCGTGGAATATCGTTTTTTAGAGCAGCAGCCTTTTGAGATAATCCACCTTCCATAACATCATATATAGCTTTTCTCATATCGCCATCAGAAGTTTTGCCAATTCCAGGATTTTTCGGCGCTGGACGTGGCATATTACGATCTGAAATTTATATTGTATGAAATAAAAAATATTTATCCTCATTCTTTTTTTTAACTAGGAACAGTGCCACTGTTTTTTGAAAAAAAGAGCAGTGGCCACTGTTCCTATATGCGTTTGTGGCCACTGTACCAAAACCATCTTGTTTAATAAAATATAACCTAAAATCTTCTACTTTAATAATAGATCGTAATTTGCATCATATGCGTGTGTTACATTCTATACAATACACCACGAAACTTGGAAAACATTTAATATGTATGTTATTATGGGCATAAAAGATGTTTAAACTTATCTATTTTTTCTACGCAGCACACCTCTAAACAAATTAATTTGTAATATACTTGTGGAAACGATTATACACGTGTGAATCGTAGTAAACGACCGTTGTGACTGAAATTATTAAGGTTTCGATTAGGTGGCGCGCCTGTACACATCAAATGAAAACAAATATTTAAAAGTGACCACTGTACCTGACTGGCCACTGTACCAGCCTCTCCCCTACTAGAACTCTCTAGGCTTTGCAGAACTATCAAAATCTGTCTTTTTATGACTCATACGCTACAAAGGGATCAATCCGGTAGTTTTTTGAAGCGGTACGTTTGTCTCTATATTGCCAGCGCCACTAGACTTCATACCGCGGGCAAGGAGTAAACAAAACAGGCTTTTGCGCGATATTATGTTTGAAAAAAAGGTTCTGCTTGTAATTTTTTTAAATAATGATTTTATCGATTATATATAGAATATTTATTGATAAAACAAGAACATAAAAAACGAAGAAATATATCATTTAAAACGTTGAGACAGTTACATCCACTTAAAAAAAAAATGGAAATATTTTTGGATTTTATCAAAATTGAAAATCGAAATTTAAAGGAAAAAATATTCAAATTAAGTTATTTTAAAACTGCTGTTTTAATGAAAGAAATTTACAAAAACAAAACATAATTTAAATTATGAGAGTTTTGGTTTCTTGCAACCGGATGGACCAAAATTGTCTGAAACATTAGTTACATCAATATCCTTTTCTTCTAAATTCATTGATTCTTGAAATTGAATATTTGGGTAAATCTGTATCTTGGTATTCGTCATCGAATTAAGTGTCGTCATTTGGGCAATCAATGTAGGGTCCGATTACAATTAGAAGAACACAGCTACGTCATCATTTGGCAAAGTAATTAATTGGTTATCGCCGCCTACTGGGGGTTTAGTGGAATGTTTATATTATAGGAATATAGGAACTATTGTTTTATGCCCAGCAACTTACTTATTTTTTATTTATTAAAAGTTATAAATAATAAGTATTCGAAACTCGAAGTAATGGTTATGCCGTAGCGATGTTCTTCTAATTATAATCGAACCCTACGTATCTAGCGGTGCTCCGAATTCATTACTTTGGGAACAAAACTGGTTTTTCAACGATTCAGTAAATTCCACTGGTTCAGTTCAATTCGTTGTTATACCGTAGCGACGTACTCTTAAAAAATAAATTCGTCAACTGTATTTTAAAACTGCAATCGACGGTCCGGTTCGGACCCAAACAAACCCTTATCTGAATGCCATATTTACAACGGTATTGGGTTAATTTCTTATTTTCGGCTCGATTTACGATAATAATTGTTTTCTCTCCTAAGTACTGATTTATACCGTTTTGACCAATTATTTAATATGGGGTAAACTTAAATATTCCATAAGTTGTATAAGGTTGCAAATTTCATATTGCTTATGAGTATACTTTTTTTTTGTTGCCCTAGATACTTTTCTATTAATTTCGCATTGCGAAATTGGTCATAGACAATTTATAATCATTTGCGTTGATCTTGGAGTATTGAAAATTTTCATTTACTTATAGAAAGGTATTTAAATCGTCCTGTAAAATTTGCAATAATCTTTTAATTTTTCTGCGACTACAAAAAGTACGAATTGTTGATTTTTGTTTATTTTTCCGGTTCCGGACCTTGTCCGAGGTTGCAAATTCACCATTGTTAAGAAAAATATTAATAACATTTGCAATTATTAACAAATAAAGTGGTTTAGAGGAGATATATAAATATTCTAAGTAATAAAATATAAATAAATATCTAAACAATAAATATCTCAGAAGAAGATTATATATAAAAATCGAGTCACTAGATTATGTAAGTTTTTTTAGTTTTCTATTTTTATTTTAGTTTTTTAATTGTTTTCTATAAGTTTATATATTATATTTTTATCCGTTTGTAATAAAGGATATTTTAATTTCTTTTTAAAATTAGTTTTATTTTTATGTTTTATAAATGAGATGGTACAAAATTATACATTTTATTTGACGTGTATGAATATAATCGTTGTGATCTGCAGCTTGGCAGTAGCAGCCAAAGCTGACCAACTGACAACTTTGAAGCAATACTCATACCACTGCTTCTCCCAAGCTTAAAGAAGCATCCCGTTGGCTTTCGCCCATACTACTGATTTTTAGTTCATCCACACCTTGGGAGAAATCAAAGCTAAACAGTCCGTTACCGGAGATTCAGCCTTGGGCGTGGATTGCATAAACACCAGGTTGGCGATGCATTTGGTGAAGATGATTTTAAAGATCGATGATTTACGTCAGCTCGGCTCTGGTTAGAAACCAGTTCATTTGAATTGTATTTGTTTTGTCGTACAATTTAAGACTACTCATCACTATAATACTTCTGGGAATCTGGGATTCCTTAAAATTTTAACCTAGGTCCCATACTATCTAAACTTTTAGTCCTATAAATACTATTAATAAACAATTGTCTTAACAAGGGTAAAAACAACTCGATTTTACTCTTTACATGTAAATTTAATTGTTTAAATTTTTTATTATTTAATAAGTGGTGTAATTTAAGTTGAAATTGACGATATTAAAAAACAAATATGCCTAACAAAGGTATATAGATCGACTTTTAAATAATCCTGTATAATAAACTTCGTCTAATTTTGTTTCAGCTCAACCTCCATCAGCCTATAACACCACGGAGCCCAGCGTCGGTGCTGGCCCTGAGCCGAAATACTATTTAGGTGATTTAATAACGGGAACTTATTGTTCTCGAATATTCAGCGACTGTGATAGGAAACACTGCCGTCTCCAGTCTCCCAATTTCCCGGGGATTTATCCCCGTAATCTAACGTGCTACTATGCTGTGAGACAACACGAAATACCACCAGGTAAGTTTATTTGATAAATAATTCTTTAATTGTCATTTTTTATATCAACATGACACGATCACATAATTCACTATTTTTTGAATTTATTGTAGAGGTATTTAATTTATCTAAACCACTTATGTAATATTACCACAATCTTAAATAAGTATATACTATTTAGTGAATTTAGTCAAATGCATTTATCTCCTTCCATTATGCCCTATTTTATGCCATTATAAATTTGAATTATAGGTTTCTTTATATCGAAACTTACATTTTCTCGTTCTTGTTTTCTTTTTTACACTTTGAAACCCCTCATATCATCATATTTGTCTTCAGGATACCATCGAGTTCAAGCATAGCACCACTACAGCGGTCTTGCAGCGTTTGAAGCTCATTGTGACACAATTTGAAGGTTCTACTGCCAAATTCATTCACTCCATCTTATATGGTTTAAAGCTAGTCCATTATAAAAGAACCTTCCAACTAGCCCGCATATTTACCACAACATACGTATTTCTACTCTCTGCTCTATGACGATAATAATATTTGTGTAGAATGTTGTAAGGGAAACTAAGTCTCTGGCCTTGCCTGTGGCAATAGCGAGAAACTTCTACAAATGAACTTAAATATCCTAACATGAATAAACTTTTTTATACACCCACATGGGTATTAGCTTATCTACGGACAGACTACAAAACTAAAAAGCCATTGCGATAAACTGAACAAATATATTTCATATACTTTCTACCTAGTAAGAACACTGCTAAAAATGAAATCCACCAAACACAATTCTTATTTGGGTCGGTTGGGTAATGTTATTTTTAAATTTTATATGAGTGAAAATTCTGTCAAACTAATTCTAAGTTAATTTGTTAATAAGATTAAATATACGTGTGTAGAATCGATAAATGATAGCATTTGTATTTTTATTTCGTCCACATTCACAAAATAATTTTTTAGCTCAGCTCAGCAACGAGGGGTCCAAAAAAAATATATACTGCGCCAGAGATTTAATATGCTTAAATTTCAAGATCCCTCAGTGTCCGGAGAAAAGATATTTCAAATTAATAATCCAAATAAATTACTATTCCTTGGTGCAAGGAAACCACCAGCTAAATCATTAATACCACAACGATATGCGAGACTAGAATATAGATAGGTCTACCAATGCTTCTGGAGAAAGTGGACGATCAGCAATTTACAGTAATTAGAGAAAATAAAGCTCATCTTATATAATCCAGTGTTCTACTGTAGAAGATTTGTGTTCTACGAGAATTGGCTAACACCGGCCGATATAAGAGAAGCACTTCTTGGCGACGTTGTTGACTACATTAAATCTGTAGCCTGGTTCACGAGATAGGAGGTGCCTATCCACTTAGAAGGATGCACAATGGGCTTATTGATGCCTAAGTGCCGTGAGTTAACCAACCCTCCACATGTTACAGATACAGAGATGCAGTGTTCTGCTGGACGGCATAGGATCCTAAATATAAGTAACAATACTCCTAGGTATTGTTACTGAGCTTTATTTAAAAAATAAGTAAGCAGCTTACAAAGGTTGACTTCAGAGCTAAATTAGGCAGTATAGTTAACTTTTTTTTTTTGTAAAAAAAACACCTTAAGAGGGGTGTTTATTGATATAACAATCTGATCAAGAGTTGATCAATAAGTAATTTTGTTATAACCTAACTTAACTAGGGTTGCAATCTTAAAAACTAAAGTTCTACTCGCTAGTATACCTTAGGGTCTGATAACGTAATTTAATTACACTAAACTAACGTGTAACACTAAACCGCTTTGCTTTGTTACTCACAATCACTTGGCCAACTCAAAAGGTTTCACTCTCTTGCGTCTTCTTATCAGGTTCGTGTTGTTAAGAAGCTGGATCGCCTCAACGTTCACATGTTGATGGAGCCGTTGTTCGTGACTCCTAGCGAATCTGGTGAGATAGTCTGATCAACAGTGTCCATCTGAAGGTCTCGATGAAGGTCGCTGTTTCTAATGTACCAAGGAGCATCGACATTGTTCCTCAATACTTTGTTCTGGAATCTCTGGATTATTAGAATATTACTGTAGCTGGCACAACTCCAGAGCTGAATGTCATAGGTCCAAACTGGTTTGAGAACTTGTTTATATAATAGAATTTTGTTATGTGTAGATAGGCTGGAATGCCTACCAAGTAACCAAAAATGCAAAAATGCACACAATGGCTCAAAACTTTTTTTTTTGAGTACTTAATTGTATCTAAAATACGATTACATTACGAAAAATTCTGCAAAAATATTTTATCTATTTTTACGACCACTGTTCATTGAGTAACGACCATAGAACACGGTTTTTGAGAAAAGTTTCCTAAAATTGACGATTTTCAGTTTATTGGTCTGAAAATTAAGCAAACCCAAATTTTATGTCTTCTAAATGTGTATACAAAGTTTAAAGTGTGTATGTTTCTTCTAAGTTGTAGAATTGTCCCGATAAAAGTCTCATTACACACGCTCCGCGGGATCCAAAACTCGTGTATACACTGCATTTCTGTAATTTGATTTTTTTGCGATTTCCAGTTTAAAATTTCTTACATACCTAAATTTATTAGGTTTAAAATTTATTAAATTGTATTTTACTAACTTGTTATAAGACGTTTCTTGAGTTTTGTGCAAAATATAGAATTACCGCAAAATTAGCCGCACGTCGCATCAAGGATAGCCATGGTCTTGGCGTTCGCTATCCGACAAGTTTAAACTTTAAACGGTCATATTATTACAAATTGAATCGCTTGATAGTGTTCATCGGCATAGATTTTTAATAACCGTGTTCAGCAAGCTCTGTGTACACGTGGTTTTTCGGACTTCTTCAGCAATTTATTGAGTAAGTACATTCCTAAATTAAAATTAAGAAAATTCTATCAGTGCTATAATTTTGTGTTTCCAGGTTGCAATGGCTAGCCTGTGCTTATTATGGGAAAACAAAAAAAAAAAAAAAAAATGGCCACGTTTTCGCGAACTATTGCAAATTTGCAATGTGACCTATGACATTCGAAATATAACCGAAAACAACGTATTTTTTGTGCTTAGAAAATTGCTCGTAAAACGAGTGGTTTTATCTTAAATCCAACATTTTCCCGTTTTCCGAGAAAAAACAAGCACACTGTCGATTTTTTTTTTTTTTTTTTCGTAATTTGGGCACTTTACAGACTGAAAATATATAAGAATCAGTAAGTTTAATGAGAAACAAGCTTACTTTCTCTCCCAATTGCCCGAAAACGCCCCTTTTCTCGAGAAAATTCGAGTAGCTTTAATTCTCGCGAGAATTACCGATCTTTGCACACGTGTGCTCAGAAATCAGTGGATGCTAGAAAAAATGTATATGCCACAGTTTTTGGTGTATTTTTTGTCTCCTTCATATGATGGAAACAGTTTTCTATTCAGATAATTATTTTTCGGGTTATTTAAGAAAATAGTACGAGAAATCAAGAAAAAAATGTTTTGCAATTTTTTCAAAAAGTATTGCAGATTTCGCCACCCAACCCGTCTTATTCGGAACGTAACTGGAAAATACCTATTTTTGTCATGCATATAATATATATCTTCTCACATTTTAAGTTTTCTTGTAAATAACTAAAAACCAGATGTTAGAGAACAGAAAACAAGCTTATCACCAATTTGGAACTTACACTCAGGCTTAGGATTAATTTCCTAACATTTTTAAAGTATACCTTTCCGTGTATTTTTTTGTGATCTTTCTGATGCCGAAGTTATTTTTTTCAAATATATTTTTTGTTAGATGTTTTTGGAAAACGCGGAGAAAATCATATGGGAAAAAATTTAAAAAAAACTACGCCTTCCGGTTTCCTGCGAATTCCCGAAAAATTATGGCAGATTTCGCCACAGGACTTATTTTATTTGAGGGACAGCAAAAAATACGTAACTTCTCTCATGGGCACATATGTCTAATATTTATAATTTCGCCACAAATTCATCGCAAATTTCATGTCCATGGTTCTGATTAAAGAAACGAAAAAACAACTTTTTGGTAAAAGCACTTGTGGCGGCGATAAATTCGCCATTAAAACTATCTGTGCAATGAATTTCCGAACTATTTTTGCCTTCTATTTCGATTGGTGCATTTATTTTTACTATCGGAATGATACTTGTCCAGATAATTAGCATTTTTACCATGAAAAATTCCGAAAAACCCAGTTTTTTCCTAACTTAAAAAAAATTGAACAACAGCTACATCTTTTTTTGCTTTTTTTCGGAAAGATCACATCAAAATACATAAGGTCTATTTTGTTTTATTTAATTACAAATTAATGTAAGCTCAAAGGGGTTTTTTTGTTATTTAATTGGACTATAATTATTGTTTCCTCAGATAAATTTAAATTGAGTTTGAATTTAAATTTATACTAGTTTTATTTTCATTTCAGCGATATTTATTTCTACCGATTTGCCACCATTTGAGGTCTCTATTGCCAAATTATATATCTCATATGTAGGGGTACGTATATTTCGCATATAAAAAACCGAAATTTCACATAAATATAAATAAAAAATCTTAAATTTCGCATTTATTCGCATAAAAAACGAAAAATATTTAAAAACTCGTATTTATTTCTATAAAATATCTCAATATTTTCTTGCCTAATTAAACCTTTGCCATTGGTCATTTATGACGACACTGTAGATACTGAAATATCTTTTAGCATCTACACTGTTGATTGGGCTTTGTATAGCTGTATTCGCGAACTTCAAGTAGCAACATTTTGATGCAAGTAAAATCTGCATGACGTTAACCGGAGTTTCGTTCTAAACCACATTGACGAGTTATCTATGGAAATAAGCATATCCACTTAAGAGTTCATCCTGTGGTATATCCTTAAAAAGTAGTATTCTAGAGATGCTCTCCAGTGTTGAGTTAGTGTCCAGAGACGAAGTGGTCACGGCCGCTGCTACTGATGGGCAAAATAATTTGCCAATGTGCAGGTAGGAATCGTTTGTTGGGTTGGATCTCATATGTAAAGA